GACACAGGTTCTCATCCCTGGTCCTGGAGGATATTTTAGTGCTCTTCCTGCTCTAACACACCCACCTCATCTCAGGAAGGGTCTGATTAATTGGATCAGGTGTGGTGGAATAGGGACACTATGATGTGTAGGACAGGGGGTACTCCGGGTCCAGGGTTAGAAACGTGTATGCTGGTATAGCATAGAGTCTGAGATAATCAGATAAGTGTCTGATAAGAGTCTGAGATAATCCGATAATTATTGGATACCTTGAGATCTGATAGTGAGGTTATACTGAAAAGCATCATTAAAATATATTAGATGTATATATATATGTGTGTGTGTGTGTGTGTGTATCCACACATGCATTGAGATATTGTAGTTTTCTATCAGTGGTATTGCTTTTACTAGATTAGATTATGTTGTTGCTCTGACAATGCTAAAAAAGGATGCCATTAAAGCTATAAACAGAATTGAGGGGGAAAAAACACCTAAATTAAAGCGGTAATAAGCTACTTGGCTTGATCACAGTGCATTTAAAGAATGCTGTGCTTTTAAGCAGTTAGAAAAACGTACAAAGGCTACAGTAAAGCTGCTTTAAGGTGGATATAATGCTGTGTTTGTTCTTCCTCTGAGGAAGTGAATCGTCTGATTCTGAGACCCAGCTGCAGTTTCACAATGAACACCACAAGCTGACTACAAAACCCCAGAGCCGAAGTCCATTTTCGTGCAGTGGCTCAAACAGGGAGGAATAATATAGAAGCGAGGAAAACATAAACGCTGCTAAATGCACGGTGAAATGCCGAACACAACCATATATGGACTAAAAGACGAGAAGCAGGAAGCGGCGAGCGCTGTCAATAAAATTAGGAAGTTACAACTGCGCACGCGCAGATCGGCGATCATTAGAATGACTTTTGCAGAATTTAGCATCGATTAACATTTTTGTTAAACACGCTGGTTTTAACGGTGCTGTTTCCACGTGTGCATGTTGTACCTACATGTACAATATTTAAATGTGTGTCCAGTCACTCAGATAAATATTTTCAAAACGTAGCTAGCAAGCCAATGAAGGCAAAATACAGTCTAGCTAGCTAGCATTTACATAGCCTCCACCCATGCTATTGTCCCTAGTATTATTTACAAATCTCTATGTCTGACTGTAAAATAAACCCTCAGATAGCACACAGAGTGAAATGACTGGAGTCTGGCTGTAAGTACACAGGAATATTGTAAACTGAGCTCTGTAGTGAATACGCTAACAGCTAGCTCGCTAGCGCTACACACCCCAGAGCTGACAGTAGAGCTGCTGCTGCTGCTGCCAGTGGATCTGATTTACACAGGAATTAGAAATACTTTACCCTGTACCGCAGTCCACAACACACGCCGGTAATCTCCCAGCCATTCCTCCTGTCTCACAGCCGAAG